TGGATACTCCATCAAGGAAGACGCCATACAATCATCAGGTGTAGATACAGGGAACATGTTCGAGTTTTTTTAATGGAAACTACATGGAAACCATCAGACGCTTTGATGCAAATCGATCGCAAATCGATCGTAACTAAATTGATCGCACAAAAACTGTTATAGCATCTGTGCGTTTTGATGTCGTTTTCACTAGGCCATCTGTCTTTGCTGATGTTTCTTTTGGTTTCTGTACTGGAAAAGTCAAATTCTTCCAGAATTTCTATTTATCCTGAGTCTTCGTTGCTTGGCGGTTTTGATGTTGGCAAGGCCAGGGTTTCAAGTGTGGACTTTGTAATGTGTCATTTTGATGTAGGATTTCGACGTTGTTTTGCGATCATTTTGCGATCCTTTGTCGATCGATTTGACATCGGCCTAAAAACGAATAAGAAGGCCATAAAACAACATCAATATGACATCGACAAGAACCTAAGGCCTGTAGAAAACGGCACTTGCCAATTCATATATTCATATGGTTTGGTGATCATAGAGTCCAAGATGACATAAGTGAGTTCATTTCTCTTGGTGGTTTCGTCTTTTTATTAACTTAGTTTGCAATATTATATGTTAGGAACCTCCATCAAGTTGACACCGAGACAGACATAAAACTCCATCAAAATGACATCAAACAAAAATTCACATTTGAAACCTTGCCAAAATCGAAACCACCAAGCAGTGAACACTCAGGATAAATAGAAACTCTGGAAGAAATTGACTTTTCCAGTGCAGAAACAAAAAGGGACATCAACAAAGACAGATGACCTAGTGAAAACGACATCAAAATGCACAGATGCTATGACAGTTTTTGTGCGTTTTTTTACGATCAGTTTACGATCGATTTACGATCAATTTGCGTCAAAGCGTCTGATGGTTTCCACGTAGTGTCCACTAAAAAAAAAGTCTCTGTTCCCTGTATCTACACCTGGTGCTTGTATGGCGCTTCTTTGATGGAGTATCCATGCAGGTTCCATGGAGAATTGATGTAGGTTTCATGGAGGTTTCATGTAGGTTCCGTTGTTTCTTGTGTCTAAACGTGATGGTTGCATGGCGCCTTCTAACTGATGCAGTTTTCATGGAGGTTCCATGCAGGTTCCATGGAGAATTGATGTAGATTTCATGCAGTTTCCATGTGCGTTATGGAGGTGATGCCTCTATCTACACTTGTTGGTTTTACCATGCACTCTGCCTGATGCAGGTTCCATGGAGGTTCCATGCAGATTCCATGCAGGTTCGAGGGAGTTGTCATGGAGGTTACACACCAGTAAGCTAAATCAGCAAACCCAGCATGTAACCAACATGAAACCTGCATGGAAACTGCATGGAAACTCCATGGAAACTCCATGAAACCTGCATCAGTCAGAGTACTGTACAGGATAGGACCGCAATGGAATTTGTTTCAAGAGAAACTGTGTTTTTTCTCTGCTTTGCTTTCATGTAGATTATTTAGATAGAATAGATAGGTAAGGTCACTTGGATAGAGTAGGCATATTAGATAGATCAGATAGAAAAGGTAGACTAGGTGGATTAGATAGATTAGATAGATTAATAGACAGACTTGAAAGATTAGAGAGGTTGGATTAGATTAGCTTAGATTAGATTAGATAAGATCAGAGAAGATTAGACTAGTTTGATAGACAAATAGACAAACAAATAAATAGATAGATTATGTAGATATATGAGATTGGTTGATAGATTGATAGATTGATAGATTGATAGATTGATAGATAGATAGATATAGATAGACAGACAAACAAATAGATAGATTGGATATGATATATTAGATAAGTAAATAGATAGACAGACAGACAAACAAACAGATAGACAGATACTTAGAAAGATAGATTAGATTAGATTAGATTAGATTAAGATTAAGATTAAGATTTAGATTTAGACTTAGGATTTAGAATTAGGATTTAGAATTAGGATTTAGAATTAGGATTTAGAATTAGGATTTAGATTTAGGATTTAGAATTAGGATTTAGAATTAGGATTTAGAATTAGGATTTAGAATTAGGATTTAGAATTAGGATTTAGAATTAGGATTTAGAATTAGGATTTAGAAGAGGATTTAGAATTAGGATTTAGAATTAGGATTTAGAATTAGGATTTAGAATTAGGATTTAGAATTAGGATTTAGAATTAGGATTTAGCATTAGGATTTAGCATTAGGATTTAGCATTAGGATTTAGCATTAGGATTTAGCATTAGGATTTAGCATTAGGATTTAGCATTAGGATTTAGCATTAGGATTTAGCATTAGGATTTAGCATTAGGATTTAGCATTAGGATTTAGCATTTAGGATTTTAGAATTAGGATTTAGAATTAGGATTTAGAATTAGGATTTAGAATTAGGATTTAGCATTAGGATTTAGAATTAGGATTTAGAATTAGGATTTAGAATTAGGATTTAGAATTAGGATTTAGAATTAGGAGAATTTTTAGAATTAGGATTTAGAATTAGGATTTAGAATTAGGATTTAGAATTAGGATTTAGAATTAGGATTTAGAATAGATTTAGATAGGAAGGATTTAGAACTAGGAAGAACTAGATTAGAATTAGGATAGAATTAGGAATTAGAATTAGGGATTAGAATTAGGGATTAGAATTAGGGATTAGAATTAGGGATTAGAATTAGGGATTAGAATTAGGGATTAGAATTAGGGATTAGGATTAGGGATTAGGATTAGGGATTAGATTAGGGATTAGGATTAGGGATTAGGATTAGGGATTAGGATTAGGGATTAGGATTAGGGATTAGAATTAGGGATTAGGGATTAGGGGATTAGGGGATTAGGATTAGGGATTAGGATTAGGGATTAGGGATTAGGATTAGGGATTAGGATTATTAGGGATTAGGATTAGGGATTAGGATTAGGGATTAGGATTAGGGATTAGGATTAGGGATTCTAGGGATTAGGGATTAGGATTAGGGATTAGGGATTAGGGATTAGGATTAGGGATTAGGATTAGGGATTAGGATTAGGGATTAGGATTAGGGATTAGGATTAGGGGGATTAGATTAGGATTAGGGATAAGGATTAGGGATAAGGATTAGGGATTAGGATTAGATTAGATTTGGATTAGATTAGATTAGATTAGGATTAGATTAGATTAGATTAGTTAAACAAAAAATAAAACAAATACAAAACACAAAAAAAAAACATTTTTCAAATCTATTTTGCACATAACTCTGATTTCCCAGACTTCCAAACCACCAACCCAAACCGCCATATAAGTATAACCTGATTAACGGAAGATACATCCCCATTCATGGGGATGTTCGTTGCCTTGGAAGCGATTGATTTTTTGGGATGTGCTGGGGACATTTCACCATCAATTTATGGTTTGTTTTTAGCCAAATATCGACGGTGATAGAAGTCACCAACAATGGGAATTTCTAATGGGTGTAGTTTGAGAATGTAACGCCACAAGGTCCCTGCGGAATGATTTTCTCCACAATTTTAGATTGTGGGTATCCAACCCATTCTTTTTTGCGCACACCCAAATCAACCAGGTTTGAGTATCAATCTGTCTCCGTTCTTGGCCAAGAGCGCAGCAAATGCCATTCCAAAGATGATCAACAGAGCGAATGCGGCAAACAGCGGGGACACTGGGTCCATGGCACGGCAAGGCACTTTAAACAATTACGCCAACCGATGCGCGATTCGAATTCCATCAGTTGGGATCATCATGTGAATTTTTCAGGATAGAAAATAAGAAACATTTGGAACCACGAAACAGTTTTGCTTATCAAAATAACCATGTATGGCACCGTATGGCTGGTTTGCTCCAGCTATGCTGCGGGAAGGAAGAATTCAGGACATCGCGGTTGTACATGGAAAACCCAAATCTTAAGCAACCCCCTATGTGACCATAGATGGCATAGACCAAATGGCTATGGCTGTGGGCACCACATCCCATCCGGTTGACTGATCAGAATTTCGCAGTACCCTGAGCGCCCCAGACCAACGCTGGTCCGACGTGGCGTCACCTCTCGTGGCATCCTGCAAATTCAACGCTGTTGGACATATAGAATGTATGTCCTTTAGGTTTGCAAGAATCTGTATACTGTATACACAAAACAAAATTCTATATACACATGTCGATATACCATAGTATAATAATCACAGAAATACTGCACATATGTCCATGTGTATATAATATGTATATATGTATTTATCTATGTGTATATATATATAATTATCTATTTATCCATTCATGCATATATGATCATATATGCATTTGTACGGGCCAAAACAGTTGTCCGAGTGGCAGGTATATGGTCGGACTAGTTTATCATCTGCCGTTTTGCGGAGATCTATTATGATCCTAATTATGGATAAACGCAAAGACGTTTTTACCGAAATTAGTTTAAGATATTTCATCGATTCCATATCAGCCATATCATATTCTCATAGGGTTAAAGTTGGGTGACATCCCATATGTGTTTTGACGATTCACCATCTTCTGATCCCATCGGTGTGAGAATAGGCTACCCCATTCCGTCCAGTGGTTCACCATTTTCTGGTTGCAACAAACCAACCATCTCTGGGCGATTTCTACAGTAAACTTCCCTGCGTGGCTAAACAGCCACATTTTCGGCGATCCTCTTAAGTGCACCACTATCCCCTCTGAAATTTCAATATATGAAGCTTTTCGCTGCCGCCCTCTTTTGCAAATGAAGCAATCTGTAGACCAGCGAACGGCTGGCGCCGTGAAACGTTGGTTGCGCTGAGGGCCGCGGGCCAACTGTTTGGAGATGGTGCTACCGCTGAACCCTCAATGTGCAACTACAGGACTAAGAATGGCAAGGACAAAGTTGGGGTGCTTAGTATTGCTAATGTTACTCCATTCCCATCACGGCTAATTATTTCATGGCAAATTACAAGTACTGGAAATATCAATCCCTGATTTGTCGCTTCGACCCCCCTGAAAGTTAATAATTCAACTCAATTGGAACGGATTAAATCCACTTCTGACCCTTTGGTAGTTGAACATAGACATGGAAAATCACCATGTTGAAAAATGGTTCATCGAATTAAATGGGCCATCTTCTAGTTCGCAAACTGTGAAACAGCGGGTACCTGAAATTCCAGCCATTGATGCTTTTCCCAGCGAAAAAAACCATGATTTTCCACTCCAATGATGCCACATCAAGCCAGGACGCTCTGCTTCACCCGGCGCACGTCCTGGAGACGAAGGGACGATCAAATCCCTGAGTGCTAGCGATGGTTTTTTGGGTCCAAAGCGATACACCCTAAAAACAAAAAAACACAAAAAAACACAAAAAAACAAAAAACCCTAAACACGAAATTCACTAAATCCTGAAACCTAAAGACAAAATCGCTGTGTATAACCAGTGTTTTTGTTCATCCTCAGGTGTGCTCTTTGTAGGCGATCTGGGTTGGAGCGAACATGTCGAAACCATGAAACTGAACTCATGATCTGTTGTAGATATCACAATAAGAACAGTGTCAACAACAGTCATAGTAATTCCACACATCAAACTTTTCGTCCCCCCAAGTTATTGTGGGAATGATATGAATTGATCTGATTTCACCGAAATTACCGAAGATTTCCGCATATTTAGGATGTATAGACCTTTTTGCTGCCTTGACTTCTTTGACACCTATCCAACTTGCAATGGCGTTGCAATGCCATTGCAAGTTGGATGGATTCAAGATTCAAGATTCAAGATTCCTACGGACTCTTTCCAGCAAATCTTGAATCCAAATCTTGAATCCAACCCCTGGATTCAAGATTCAAGATTCAAGATTCCTGGGGACTCTTTCCAGCAAATCTTGAATCCAGGATTCAAGATTCAAGATTCCCAGGGACCCTTTGCAGGAAATCTTGAATCCAGGCTTCAAGATGGATTCAAGATTTGCTCCAAAGAGTTCCTGGGAATCTTGAATCTTGAATCTTGAATCCTGGGGTTGGATTCAAGATTTGCTCCAAAGAGTTCCTAGGAATCTTGAATCTTGAATCTTGAATCCTGGGGTTGGATTCAAGATTTGCTCCAAAGAGTTCCTAGGAATCTTGAATCTTGAATCTTGAATCCTAGGGTTGGATTCAAGATTTGCTCCAAAGAGTTCCTGGGAATCTTGAATCTTGAATCCTAGGGTTGGATTCAAGATTTGCTCCAAAGAGTTCCTAGGAATCTTGAATCTTGAATCCTAGGGTTGGATTCAAGATTTGCTCCAAAGAGTTCCTGGGAATCTTGAATCTTGAATCTTGAATCCTAGGGTTGGATTCAAGATTTGCTCCAGAGAGTTCCTGGGAATCTTGAATCTTGAAATTTAGGCCTGAAAAATAGACCAAAAACATATGGAATCGGTACCTCCAATCAATCGGTTCCTGAAATGGCCATTGAAAAATTGGTTTAACATTCAGTATCATGGGTTTTATGCTCGATCAATGTTGGGTGAAATCTCTTTTTCGTTCCTGAGTCATGGCCATTGATCTATGTTTGATTGAAATTGTCCATTATAGATCATCCAAATGGGGGGTACCCCCATGACTTAGGAACCACTTAGGAACCCCCGAAGTGCTCAATTGCAACCTATGGTCTTCCTTTGATGATTTACCTATAACCCATCAACTATAATATCCATATAACTATATATAAAACCACTATTACTCACCATTGTAATATTAGACTATAATATCAAAGTAATATTGACAGTATACACCAATATACCACTATATCATATCAATGAAACTGTATAACTATAGTAATATGGTATATAACCATACTATTAAAATATACATGGTTTTACTATAGTTATATATATATATACCCTTATTACTATAGCGGTATCACGCATATAATATAGTTAGTTAGATATACTAATGGTGAGATATACTCATGGCATAGTTAGTGGTTATATCATTGTACCACTAGTATATAATCACAAACTATACATTGGGTATATAACTATTGGATATATTGACAATAACAACAATAACTATAATAACAATATATATATATACATATACAACTTTTAGATTCACTATTATACTCACTATTTGTATATACCACTAGCTATATATAAAATATTGACTATTCTAAAGATATATACCACTAACTGTATAACCACTAACTATATACCACTAACTATATAACCACTAACTATATACCACTAATGATTAATTATTAGTTAGATCTATTGACGATTACAAAAAGATATATACCACTAATAAATTAGTTACTAATAAGTATACTAATACCGGGATCGCTCCAATGGGCAGGAGGAAAACATATATATCATATATATATATAATATACCACTATGCCACTATACCACTATTAGATAATTAGATAGTTTGATCATTGAATGTTAAAACCACTATTTTACTCACTATTAGATCTATTGACTATTCCACTATTATCTATAATGACTATATACCACAATTATCTCTAATGACTATAATGACTATTACCTAAATGAAATTCCTACTA